TTTTGAGAAGTGTCTGTTCATATCCTTTGCCCACTTTTGAATGGGCTTGTTAGTTTTTTTTCTTGTAAATCTGCTTTAGTTGTTTGTAAATTTTGGATATCAGCCCTTTGTCAGATGGGTAAGCTGCAAAAATTTTTTCCCAATCTGTTGGTTGCCGATTCACTCTAATGATTGTTTCTTTTGCTGTGCAGAAGCTGTGGAGTTTGATTAGGTCCCATTTGTCTATTTTGGCTTTTGTTGTCAATGCGTTTGGCGTTTTGGTCATGAAGTCCTTGCCTACACCTACGTCCTGAATGGTTTTGCCTAGATTTTCTTCTAGGGTTTTTATGGTGTTAGGTCTTATGTTTAAGTCTTTAATCCATCTGGAGTTAATTTTAGTGTAAGGTGTCAGGAAGGGGTCCAGTTTCTGCTTTCTGCACATGGCTACCCAGCTTTCCCAACACCATTTATTGAACAGGGAATCCTTTCCCCATTGCTTGTTTTTGTCTGGTTTGTCAAAGATCAGATGGTTGTAGAAAGGTTGTGTTGCCTCCGAGACCTCTGTTCTGTTCCATTGGTCTATATCTCTGTTTTGGTACCAGTACCATGCTGTTTTGATTACTGTAGCCTTGTAGTATAGTTTGAAGTCCGGTAGTGTGATGCCTCGCGCTTTGTTCTTTTTGCTTAGAATTGACTTGGCTCTGCGGGCTCTCTTTTGGTTCCATATGAAGTTTAAGGTGGTTTTTTCCAGTTCTGCGAAGAAGGTCATTGGTAGCTTGATGGAAATAGCATTGAATCTGTAAATTACCTGGGCAGTATGGCCATTTTCATGATATTGATTCTTCCTAACCATGAACATGGAATGTTTCTCCATCTGTTTGTGTCCTCTCTTATTTCGTTGAGCAGTGGCTTGTAGTTCTCCTTGAAGATGTCCTTTACGTTCCTTGTTAGTTGTATTCCTAGGTATTTTATTCTCTTTGTGGCAATTGTGAATGGAAGTTTGTTCTTGATTTGGCTCTCTTTAAGTCTGTTATTGGTGTATAGGAATGTATGTGATTTTTGCACGTTGATTTTGTATCCTGAGACTTTGCTGAACGTGCTTATCAGTTTCAGGAGGTTTGGGGCTGAGACGATGGGGTCTTCTAGATATACAATCATGTCGTCTGCAAATAGAGACAATTTGACTTCCTCCTTTCCTGTTTGAATGTCCTTTATTTCTTTTTCTTCCCTGATTGCTCTCGCTAGAACTTCCAATACTATGTTGAATAGCAGTGGTGAGAGAGGGCATCCTTGTCTGGTGCCACATTTCAAGGGGATTGCTTCCAGTTTTTGCCCATTTAGTATGATATTGGCTGTTGGTTTGTCGTAAATAGCTTTTATTATTTTGAGATACGTTCCATCGATACCTAGCTTATTGAGGGTTTTTAGCATAAAGGGCTGTTGAATTTTGTCAAAGGCCTTCTCTGCATCAATTGAGATAATCATGTGGTTTTTGTCTTTGGTTCTGTTTATGTGGTGAATTACGTTTATAGACTAACGTATGTTGAACCAGCCATATAGAACTCGCGTATGATGTTGGTGTCATAAAATGATTTGGGAAGAATTCCCTCTTTTTGTATTGTTTGGAATAGTTTCAGAGGGAATAGTACCAGCTCCTCTTTGTATGTCTGGTAGAATTCAGCTGTGAACCCATCTGGACCTGGGATTTTTTTGGGTGGTAAGCTCTTAATTGCTGCCTCAACTTCAGACCTTGTTATGGGTCTGTTCAGGGTTTCGGCTTCTTCCTGGTTTAGGCTTGGCAAGAGGCAAGTGTCCAGCAATTTATCCATTTCTTCCAGGTTTATTAGTTTGTGTGCATAGCATTGTTTGTAATAATCTCTGATGATGGTTTGAATTTCTGTGGAATCTGTGGCGATATCCCCTTTATCGTTTTTTATTGCATCAATTTGGTTATTCTCTCTTTTCTTTTTTATTAATCTTGCTAGTGGTCTGTCTATTTTTTTTTTTTTTTGAGATGGAGTTTCACTCATGTTACCCAGGCTGGAGTGCAATGGCACGATCACGGCTCACCGCAACCTCTGCCTCCTGGGTTCAGGCAATTCTCCTGCCTCAGCCCCCTGAGTAGCTGGGATTACAGGCACGCACCACCATGCCCAGCTAATTTGTTTGTATTTTTAGTAGAGACGGGGTTTCACCATGTTGACCAGGATGGTCTCGATCTCTTGACCTCGTGATCCACCCGCCTCGGCCTCCCAAAGTGCTGGGATTACAGGCTTCAGCCACCGCGCCCGGCCGATCTTAGCTATTTCTTGTCTTCTGCTAGACTTTGAGTTTTTTTGATCTTGCTCCTCTAGCTCTTTCAGTTTTGACGATAAGGTGTCAATTTTTGATCTCTCCTTGCTTCTCATGTGGGCACTTATTGCTATATATTTTCCTCTAGAGACTGCTTTAAATGTGTCCCAGAGATTCTGGTATGTTGTGTCTTCATTCTCGTTGGTTTCAAAGAACATCTTTATTTCTGCCTTCATTTCATTGTTTATCCAGTCAACATTCAAGAGAAAGTTGTTCAGTTTCCATGAAGTTGTGCGGTTCTGGGTTAGTTTCTGAATTCTGAGTTCTAACTTGATTGCCCTGTGGTCTGAGAGACTGTTTGTTATGATTTCCGTTCTTTTGCATTTGCTGAGGAGTGATTTACTCCCAATTATGTGGTCAATTTTAGAGTAGGTGTGATGTGGTGCTGAGAAGAATGTATATTCTGTGGATTTGGGGTGGAGAGTTCTGTAAATGTCTATTAGGTTTGCTTGGTCCAGGTCTGAGTTCAAGTCCTGGATATCCTTGTTAATTTTCTGTCTGGCTGATCTGTCTAATGTTGACAATGGGGTGTTAAAGTCTCCCACTATTATTGTGTGGGAGTCTAAGTCTCTTTGTAAGTCATTAAGAACTTGCCTTATGTATCTGGGTGCTCCTGTATTGGGTGCGTATATATTTAGGATCGTTAGCTCTTCTTGTTGCATTGATCCTTTTACCATTATGTAATGTCCGTCTTTGTCTCTTATGATCTTTGTTGCTTTAAAGTCTAATTTATCAGAGATGAGAATTGCAACTCCAGCTTTTTTTTGCTCTCCATTTGCTTGGTAAATCTTCCTCCATCCCTTTATTTTGAGCCTTTGTGTATCCTTGGATGTGAGATGGGTTTCCTGGATACAGCCCACCGATGGGTTTTGTCTTTTTATCCAATTTGCCAGTCTGTGTCTTTTGATTGGGGCATTTAGTCCATTTACATGTAGGGTTAATATTGTTATGTGTGAATTTGATACTGCCATTTTGGTGCTAGCTGGCTGTTTTGCCCTTTAGTTGAGCTGGTACTTGTTATTCCTTTATATGTGTAGCGCCTCTTTCAGGAGCTCTTGTAGAGCTGGCCTGGTGGTGACGAAATCTCTGAGTACTTGCATGTTCCCAAAGGATTTTATTTTTCCTTCACTTATGAAGCTTAGTTTGGCTGGATAGGAGATTCTGGGTTGAAATTCTTTTCTTTAAGGATGTTGAATATTGGCCCCCAGTCTCTTCTGGCTTGTAGGGTTTCTGCTGAGAGATCTGCTGTGAGTCTGATGGGCTTCCCTTTATGGGTAACCCGACCTTTCTCTCTGGCTGCCCTTAGTATTTTCTCCTTCATTTCAACTCTGGTGAATCTGACGATGATGTGCCTTGGGGTTGCTCTTCTTGATGAATATCTTTGTGGTGTTCTCTGTATTTCCTGGACTTGAATATTTGCCTGCCTTGCTAGGTTGGGGAAGTTTTCCTGGGTAATTCCTGAAGAGTATTTTCCAGCTTGGATTCATTCTCTTCATCGCATTCAGGTAGGCCTATCAAACGTAGATTAGGTCTTTTCACATAGTCCCACATTTCTTGGAGACTTTGTTCATTCCTTTTTACCCTTTTTTCTCCAGTCTTGCCTTCCCGTTTTATTTCATTGAGTTGATCTTCGACCTCTGATATCCTTTCTTCTGCTTGGTCCATTCGGCTGTTGATACTTGTGCATGCTTCACGAAGTTCTCGTGTTGCGTTTTTCAGCTCCATCAATGCACTTATATTCCTTTCTATTTTGTCCATTCTTGTTAGCATTTCATCAAATCTTTTTTCAAGGTTCTTAGTTTCTTTGCATTTGGTTAGAACATGTTCTTTAAGTTCACAGAAGTTTCTTACTACCCACCTTCTGAAGTCTGATTCTGTCATTTCATCACACTCGTTCTCCCTCCATCATTGTTCCCTTGCTCGTGAGGAGTTGTGATCCTTTGTAGGAGGAGAGGTGTTCTGGTTTTGGGTGTTTTTATCCTTTTTGCGCTGGTTTCTTCCCATCTTTAAGGATTTATCCACCTGTCGACTTTGTAGTTGCTGGCTTTCAGATTGGGTCTCAAATCTTTCAGATTGACGTTCTGTTTGTTGATGATGAGGTTATTTCTGTTTCTTGGTTTTCCTTTTGACGGCCTGGCCCCTCTGCTGTAGGTCTGCTGCGGTTCACTCCAGGCCCTGCTTGCCTGGGGTTCACCTGCAGCAGCTGCTGAACAGTAAGGGTTGTTACCAGTTTTCTTCTTCTGCTATCTTTGTCCCAGAAGGATACCCGCCTAGTGTCAATCTGATCTCTGTTTTATGCGGTGTCTCTTTGGATATGTAGGGATCAGGGAGCTGCTTGAGGAGACGGTCTCTTCTTTATAGGAGCTCAAATGGTGAGCTGTGAGTTCTGTTGTTGTTCATTCAGAGCTGCTGGGCAGGTACTTTTAGGTCTGCTGCAGCAGAACTCATAAACTGCTTTTTGTTCCCAGGTGCTCTGTCCCAGGGATTTAGGGCTTTATTTATGAGGTTCCGTTATGCTACCGCCTTCTTTTTTTTTTTTTCCTTTGGACCTGCCCAGCCCAGCAAGGAGGCAGCCTAGTCACTGTCGGCCTATAGAGGCTTTGCTGAGCTGCTGTGGGCTCCACCCCGCTGCCGAGTGAACTTCCCTGCAGTCCTGTTTATATGGGTGTAGTTAGAACTGCTTTGGCGATGCTGGCCTGCCTCTGTTGAGGAGGAGTCTCTCTGCTGTGGCGGGTTGCCTTGGCAACGGTGGGCTGCCTCAGCAATGGCGGGTTGCCTTGGCAATGGTGGGCTGCCTCAGCATTGGCCGACTCCGTCCTGGCGGGCTGCCTTGGTAATGGCAGACGCCCCTCCCCCACAGAGCTGGACCGTCCCGGGCTCAGCTGCACTTGCTGTGAAACTCTCAATCCAGAGTTCCTGATTGCTGTTCTTTTGTGGGGGTGGGACCAGCCGGGCCTGATCGCCTGGCTCCCTGCCTCAGAGCCATTTTTAAATTGGTGTTCCAGTCGTCTGTTTAAGAGGTGCCGGGGTCTATTTGTTTTCCCCTGCAGCCACTCACTGCGCTGGCTTAAACAGCGGCACTGAGGTTTGTGGCACTTTTTTCTTTTTTTTGTGCCCTGGAATCTACTGTCCTGGTTCTCTGCTCAGTCCCCTTTTTGAACCGGCGAATGGGCGACTTCCCGTGGCTCCAATCACCAGCCAAAAGGGCACCCGGACCAGTGTATTTTTGTATGGAGAACCACTGCCGACAAAGCAGCCACGCGGGGCAAAGCAGCGGCACCGGCCGGCACAGCCGCGCTGGCCGAAACAGCCGCACTGGTGACCATGGAGCTCCTCCGCCTGGGAATTTCCTAGTCTGTGGGCAATAAAAATGCGGCGTCCGCTCACCCTCTGCGCTTTCACTGGGAGCTGCAATCCTGAGCTGTTCCTAAACGGCCATCTTGGATCCTACCCCGAGTTAATTTTCATATAAGGTATAAAGGTGTCCAGTTTCAGTTTTCAGCATATCTAGCCAGTTTACCCAACATAATTTATTAAATAGGAAATCCTTTCCCATTGCTTGTTTTTATCAGGTTTGTCAAAGATCAGATGATTGTAGATGTGTCACATTATTTCTGAGGGCTCTATTCTGTTCCATTAGTCTATATATCTGTTTTGGTACCAGTACCAGGCTATTTTTGTTACTGTAGCCTTGTAGTATAGTTTGAAGTCAGGTAGAGTGATGCCTCCAGCTTTGCTCTTTTTGCTTAAGACAATCCTAAATACTAAGCAAACAGAGCAAATCTGGAGGCATCACTCTACCTGACTCTTTTTTGGTTCCATATGAAATTTAAAGTAGACTTTTCTAATTCTGTGAAAAAAAATGGTAGCTTGATGAGCATAACATTGAATCTCTAAATTACTTTGGACAGTATGGTCATTTTCACAATATTGATTTTTTTTATACATGAGTAAGGAAAGCTTTTCCATTTTGTTTGTACTCTTTTATTTCCTTGAGCAGTGGCTTGTAGTTCTTCTTGAAGAGGTCCTTCATATCCCTTGTAAGTTGCATTCCTTACAAGGTATTATTTTTGAGGCCTCTGTTCTGTCTCATTGGTTTATATATCTGTATTGGTACCAGTATCATGCTGTTTTGATTACTGCAGCCTTGTAGTATAGTTTGAAGCCTGGTAGTATGATGCCTTCAGCTTTGTTCTTTTTGCTTAGTATTGTCTTGTCTCTACAAGCTCTCTTTTGCTTCCATATAAAATTTAAAGAAATTTTTTTCTAATTCTCTGAAGGAAGTCAATTGTAGCTTGATGAAGATAGCATTGACTCCATAAATTACTTTGGACAGTATGGCCATTTTCATGATATTTTTTATTCCTATCCATGAGCATGGAATGTTTTTCCATTTGTTTGTGTACTCTCTTATTTCCCTGAGCAGTGGTTTGTAGTTCTCCTTGAAGAGGTCCTTCACATCCCTTTTAAGCTGTATTCCTAGGTATTTTATTCTCTTTGTAACTATTGTGAATGGGAGTTCACTTATGATTTGGCTTCTGTTCATCTATTATTGGTGTATAGGAATGCTTGTGATTTTTGCACATGGATTTTGTGTCATGAGACTTTGCTGAAGTTGCTTATAAGCTTAATAAGTTTTTGGGCTAAGGTGATGGAGTTTTCTAAATGTAAGAGAAAGAAATAAAAGGTATTCAAACAGAGACAATCTGATTTCCTCTTTTCCTATTTGAATACGTTTTATTTCTTTCTCTTGCCTGATGGCCCCAGCCAGAACTTCCAATACAATGTTGGATAGGAATGGTGAGAGAGGGCAACCTTGCCTTGTGCTGGTTTTCAAAGGGAACGCTTCCAGTTTTGCCCACTGAGTATGATATTGGCTGTGGGTTTGTTATAAATAATTCTTATTATTTTGAGATACGTTCCATCAATACCTAGTTTATTGAGAGTTTTTAGTATGAAGGGTGTTCAATTTTATCAATGGTTCTTTTTGCATCTATTAAGATAATCATGTGGTTTGTGTCATAGGTTCTGTTTACATGATGATTACATTTATGGATTTGCATATGTTGAACCAGCGTTGCATTTCAGGGATGAACCTGACTGGACCATGGTGGATAAGTTTTGATGTGCTGCTGGATTCAGTTTGCCAGTATTTTATTGAGGATTTTCACACCAATGTTTATCAGGGATATTGGCCTAAAATTTTTGGTTGTTGTGTCTCTGCCAGATTTTGGCATCAGGTTGATTCTGGCCTCATAAATGGGTTAGGGAGGAGCCCCTCTTTCTCTATAGTTTGGAATAGTTTCAGAGAAAATGGCACCAGCTCCTCTTTGTACCTCTGGTAGAACTCAGCTGTGAAACCATCTGGTCCCCAGCTTCTTTTGGTTGGTAAGCCATTAATTACAGCCTCAATTTCAGAACTTGTTCTTGGTCCATTTAGGGATTCAACTTCCTGGTTTAGTCTTGGGAGGGTATATGTGTCCAGGAACTTATTCATTTCTTGTAGATTTTCTAGTTTATTTGTGGAGAGATGTTTATAGTATTTTCTGATGTAGTTTGTATTCCTGTAGGATCTGTGGTGATCACCCCTTTATCTTTTTTTTTTTTTTTTTTTCTTCTTTTTTTTTTTTTTGGAGAACAGAGTCTCACTATACTGCCCAGGCAGGTCTCGAACTCCTCGGCTCAAGCTATCCTCCTGCCTCTGCCTCCCTAAGAGCTGAGGTTATAGGCATAAGCCACAGTGCCCAACCCCCTTTATCATTTTGTACTGTGTATATTTGATTCGTCTCTCTTTTTCTTTATTAGTCTGGCTAGTGGTCTATTTTGTTAATCTTTTCAAAGAACCAGTTCCTGGATTCACTAATTTTTTTTGGAAGGTTTTTCATGTCTCTATCTCCTTCAGTTCTGTTCTAATCTTAGTTATTTCTTGTCTTCTGCTAACTTTTGAGTTTGTTTGCTCTTGCTTCTTTAGTTCTTTTAATTGTAATGTTAGGGTGTTGATTTTAGATCTTCCCTGGTTTCTCCTATGGGCATTTAGTGCTATAAATTTTCCTCTTCACACTGCTTTGGCTGTGTCCCAGAAATTCTGGTATATTGTGTCTTTGTTCTCACTGGTTTCAAAGAACTTCTTTATGTTTGCCTTAATTTTGTTATTTACCCAGTAGTCATTCAGAAGGAGGTTGTTCAGTTTCCGTGTAGTTGTGGGGTTTTGAGTGAGTTTCTTAATCCTGAATTCTAACTTGATTGCACTGTGGTCTGAGAGACTGTTATGATTTCTGTTCTTTTGTATTTGCTGAGGAGTGTTTTACTTCCAATTATGTGGTCGATTTTAGAATAAGTGAAATGTGGTGCTGAGAAGAATGTATATTCCATTGCTTTGGGGTGGAAAGTTTTGTAGATGTCTATTAGATCTGCTTAGTCCAGAGCTGAGTTCAAATCCTAAATATCCTCATTAACTTTCTGTCTCATTGTTCTGCCTAATATTAACAGTATTGTGTTAAAGTCTCCCACTATTATTGTGTGGGAGCCTAAGTCTTTTTGTAGGTCTGTAAGGACTTGCTTTATGAATCTGGGTGCTCCTGTATTGCATGCATATATATTTAGGATAGTTAGCTCTATTTGTTGCATTGATCCTTTGATCATTATGTAATACCCTTCTTTGCCTTTTTTGATCTTTGTTGGTTTCAAGTCTGTTTTACAAGAGACTAGAATTGCAACACCTGCTTTGTTTTTTGCTTTTCATTTGCTTGGTAAACATTTCCTTATCCTTTAATTTTTAGCCTGTGTGTGTCTTTGCACATAAGCTGTGTCTCCTGAATACAACACACCGATGGGTCTTGACTCCTTATTCAATTTGCCAGTCTGTGTTTTTTAACTGGGGCATTTAGCTCATTTACATTTAATGTTAATATTGTTATGTGTGAATTTTGTCCTGTCATTATGATCCTGGCTGGTTATTTTGTTCTTTAGTTGATGCAGTTTCTTTACAGTGTCAAGGGTCTTCACAATTTGGTATGTTTTTGCAGTGGCTGGTGATGGTTTTTTGTATTCATATTTAGTGCTTTCTTCAGGACCTCTTGTAAGGTAGGCCTGGTGGTGACAAAAATCTGTCAGCATTTGCTTGTCTGTAAAGGATTTTATTTCTCTTTCTCTTATGAATGTTAGTTTGGCTGGATATGAAATTGTGGGTTGGAAATTCTTTTTTTTTTTTTTTCTCAAGAATGTTGAATATTGGCCCTCACTCTTTTCTGGCTTGTAGGGTTTCTGCAGAGAGATCCACTGTTAATCTGATGGGCTTCCTACTGTGTATAACTTGATCTTTCTCTCTCACTGCTCTTAACATTGTTTTCTTTCTTTCAACCTGGGTGAATTTGACAATTATGTGTCATGGGGTTGCTCTTCAGGAGGATTATCTTTGTGGTTTTCTCTGTATTTTTTGAAGTTGAATTTTGGCGTGTCATGCTAGGTTAGAGATGTTCTCTTGGATAATATTCTGAAAAGTGTTTCCTAACTTGGTTCCATTCTCTCCATCACTCAGATACACCAATCAAACTACGTTTGGTCTTTTCATATAGTCCCTTATTTCTTAGAAGCTTTGTTCTTTCCTTTTTATTCTTTTTTCTAATGTTGTCTTCACACTTATTTCATTAGATCGATCTTCAATTTCTGATGTTCTTTCAACTGCTTGATCATTTTGGCTATTCATATTTGTGTATGTTTCATGAAGTTCTCGTGCTGTGTTTGTCATCTCCCTCAGGTTATTTATGTTCTTCTCTAAACTGGTTATTCTAGTTAGTAGTTGCTCTAACCTTTTTTCAAGGTTCTTAGCTTCCCTGTATTGGATTAGAACATGATCTTTTAGCTCAGAGGAGTTTGTTATTACTCACCTTCTGAAACCTCCTTCTGCCAATTAATCAAACTCATTCTCTGTCCATTTTTGTTCCCTTGCTGGTGAGGAGTTGTGATCTTTTGGAGAAGAGATGTTTTGGTTTTTGAAAATTTTCAGGCTTTTTGCACCGGTTTTTCCTCATCTTCATGTATTTATCTACCTTTGGTCTTTGATATTGGTGACCTTTCGATGGGGTTTTTGTGTGGATGTCCTTTTTGTTGATGTTGATGCTATTCCTTTCTGTTTGTTAGTTGTCCTTTTAACAGGCAGGCTTCACTGTGGCAGGTCTGCTGGAATTTGCTAGATGTCTACTCCAGACCCTGTTTGCCTGGGTATTACCAGCAGAGGCTACAGGACAGCAATGCTTGCTGCCTGTTTCTTCCTCTGGAAACTTTATCCCAGAGGGGCATCTGCCAGATGCCAGTTGAAGCTCTCCTCTATGAGGTATCTGTCGACCCCTGCTGGGAGGTGTCTCCCAGTCAGGAGGCAAAAGTCTCAGGAGCCTACTTGAGGAGGCAGTCTGTTCCTTTACCAGGTTTGAGTGCTATGTTGTGGGATCTGCTGCTCTTTTCAGATCTGGCAGACAGGAACGTTTAAGTCTGCTGAAACTGTGGCCACAGACTCCCCTTCTCCCATGTGCTCTATCCCAGGGAGATGAGAGTTTTATCTATAAGACCTTGACTGGGGCTGCTGCCTTTCCTTCAGAGATGCCCTACCCAGAGAGGAGGAATCTAAAGAAGCAGTTTGGCTACAGTGGTTTTGCCAAGCTGTGGTGAGCTCTGCCCAGTTTGAGCTTCCCAGTGGCTTGGTTTACACTGTGCAAGGAAATCCACCTACTCATGCCTCAGTAATGGTGGATGCTCCTCCCTTCACCAAGCTCAAGTGTCCTAGGTCGACTTCAGACTGCTGTTCTGGCAGCGAGAATTTCAAGCAAGTGGATCTAAGCTTGCTGGGCTACATGGGGGTGGGATCCCCTGAGCCACACCACTTGACTTCCTGGCTTCAGCCTTCTTTCCAGGAAAGTGAATGGTGCTGTCTCACTGGCATTCCAGGTGTCACTGGAGTATGAAAAAAAAAAAACTCCTGTGGGTAGCTTGATGTCTGCCAAAACAGCCTCCCAGTTTTGTGCTTGAAACCCAGATCCCTGATGGTGCAGGCACCTAAGGGAATCTCCTGGTCTGTGGGTTGTGAAGACCATGGGAAATGCATACTATCTGGGCCGGAATGCACCATTTCTCATGGCACAGTCACTTATAGCTTCTCTTGGCTAGGGGAGGGAGTTATCTGACCTCTTTTGCTTCCCCTGTGAGGCAATGCCCCAGCCTGCTTCAGTTCTCCCTCTGTGAACTGTACTCACTGTCTAACCAGTCCCAATGAGATGAGCCAGGTACCTCAGTTGGAAATGTAGAAATCACCCACCCTCTGCACTGATCTCGTTGGGAGCTGCAGACCGAAGCTGTTCCCATTCAGCCATCTTTCCAGCCACCTTGAGTATACTTTCTTCTCTAGCTCACATTTGGTCGCACTTCTGGCATAAAACGCACCATAAGAAACTTAAAAAAATATAAATCATACAATGTCTTCTTTCAGATAACAATAGAATTAAACTAGGAATAAATAGCAGAATGATAGAAAACTTCAAAATAGTTGGAGATTAAACAACGCACTTATTTTTTTAAATTATGCTTTAAGTTCTGGGATACATGTGCAGAATGTGCAGGTTTGTTACATAGGTATACATGCACCATGGTGGTTTGCTGCACCTGTCAACTGGTAATCTACAGTAAGTTTTTCTCCTAATGCTATCCTTTCCCTATTTTTCCATCCCCCAACAGGCCTCAGTGTCTGATGTTTTCCTCCCTGTGTCCATGTGTTCTCATTGTTAACTCACACTTATGAGTGAGAACATGCAGTGTTTGGTTTTCTGTTCCTATGTTAGTTTCCTGAGAATGATGGTTTCTAGTTTTATCCATGTCCCTTCAAAGGACATGAATGCATCCTTTTTATGGCTGCATAGTATTCTATGGTGTATATGTGCCACATTTTCTTTATCCAGTCTATCATTGATGGGTATTTGTGTTGGTTCTAAGTCTTTGCTATTGTGAATAGTGCTGCAATAAACATACACGTTCATGTGTCTTTATAGGAGAATGATCTATAACCATTTGGGTAAAAGTCAGGAAACCACAGATTCTGGAGGGGATGTGGAGAAATAGGAATGCTTTTACACTGTTAGTGGGAGTATAAATTAATTCAACTGTTGTGGAAGACAGTGCAGTGATTCCTCAAGAATCTAGAACATCACGCTTCTAAATAACAAATAGGTTGAAGGAGAGGTCTGAAGAGAAATTTAAAAATATTTTGCATCAGATTAAGATAAAAATATAATTCACCAAGTTTTGTGGGATACAGCCAATGAAGTGACTATAGGGAAATTTATGGCACTGAATGTGTATTTTGGAAAATAATCTAAAGCTAGTCATCTAAGCTTCCACCTTAAAAGACTAGAAAAAGATTAAGCCCAAAAAATCATAAGCAATAAAATGATCAGTAGAGAAACTTAATAAAGCTAAATGATGTTTCTTTGAAAAGATTAACAAAATTTATAATTTTTTTAGCTGAGAAAAAAGAGAGAAAACCCAAATTAATAATATCTAAAATGGAAGAGGGACTATTACTACTAATCCCATAAATATTAATAGGATAACCAAGGAATATTATGAACAGCTCTATGACAACAAATTTGATAACCTAGATCAAATGGGATAATGCCTTGAAAGACAATATCTACCAAAACTCACAGAAGGAGAAATAGATAATCTGAATATGCATGTGTACATTAAATAAATTGAATTAATAATTAATAACCTTCCTAAACAGAAAGTATCAGACCCAGATGGGTTCACTGGTAAATTCTGCCAAACACTTACAGAAAGATTTTTTAAACCAATTCTCTAAAAATTCTTCCAAATAAAAAATAGAAACGGAAGGAGCAATTCCTAATTCATTTTATATGGCGACATAATAGAGTACAAAGAACTCAGGACCAAGGATTAACTGTTCTGAGTTCTAGTCTTGACTTCTATCACTTACTAGTATGTGAAAATCACTAAACCTCTTTGAGACTCAGTTTTTTTTTTTTTTTTTTATCAGCCAAGTATGGTTAATAGTACTGTTATAAACAGAATTGTGTCTCTTCAACCCTCAAATTTGTATGTTGAAGCTGTAACGTCAATGTGACTATATTTGGAGATAGAGCCTTTACGAGTATAATTAAGGTTAAATGAGGTCATAATGTTGGGATCCTAATGCAATAGAACTGGCACCATAGTAAGAAGAGGAAGAGATGCCAGAGGTTGCTCTCTCTTTGTGCATGCACAGAGGAAATGCCATGTGAAAACACAGTGAGAAAATGACTGTTTATGAACTGGGAAGATAGCCCTCACAGAAAATCAACCCTGATGTCTTGACCTTGGACTTCTAGCCTCCAGAATCATAAGAAAATAAGTATTTGTTGTTTAAGCCATCTAGTCTATGATATTTTACTCAGTCTGATTTGAATTTCAGTCTAAACAGCAGATATTCTAAGCTTGGGTGGTGAGGATGGAACATACTGATATGTGGGGTGCCCCTGGTTTGAAGATTTTATATGTTGCTCTTTAGATTTCATTTAGGACCTGAATTAAAGACTAAAACATTTCTTGTTCAACATCCTCTCTATTTTGCCTTTCTTCCCTCTTTAGCTCCAAGATATTCAAGCTATATGCTGTCTCTGTGTGTGTGTTTTTCCCAGATGCGTTATCCAGGCACCAAAAACAAAGATGGAAAGAGACAGATTTAATCCAAAGTACCAGTTTCCATTACCTTAAGCTGCCTCAATAATTTTTCTGATGGAGTAAAATTCCTTACACTTGGTTTGAAGCCCAAGATATATGCAATACTTTAATCAAATTGCTTGCGACATATTGGAGTGAGTGCCTGGGAACTATGAGTTCCTCAAATATTTTTTTAAGGCTGAATATGTCGTGTACAGGCACTGAATTAAAAGAAAAACACTTTTCAAAGTTTCTACTCTTTAGGAAGTTACCCTAATATTGAAATTGTTTGGTGTTGCATAACACACAAAGGTGTACAGTCACAGCCTATGTCAGAAGTAATAGATTTGAGGAGCTTCATTCCAAGCCATCTGTATTCTAGCTCTGGCTTCCAATTCTATTCTAATCTTCTATTGCATTCACCCTTTTGGAAGTTTCATATACATGTATTTGAGCGATTGAATCATACTTGCTGGCCACATTCTAGGCTCCAGGGATAGACAAATAAATCTATACAGGCCCTTCTCTTTTTTCACAATTTTGGGAATGGAAGTCTCTCTATGCTGTCCAGCCTGTAGTTCAGTGGCTATTCACAAGCACTATCACAGTACACCACAACCTTGAACTTCTGTGCTCAAGTGATCCTCCTGCCTCATCCTCATGAGTAGCTATAATTACAGGCATGTACCACCATGCCTGGCTCTACAGATCCTTCTTTAAGCTCACAAGCTGATAGTCTCAGAAGGGATTATTTTAAAGTGTCATGGATGATGAATAGAATTATGAAAGCTTGCTCCACATAAATAAGTCATACATGAGTACATGAGGGAGTGGGGGGCACCCCTGTTTCATTTCTGACCTCTAATTTTTCTAACAGACTTGTGAGGCAGTAGAAAATAAGGAATTGATCTTTATCATGAGAAATGTAAATTTTGGGCTCTAAGTCTTCTGTTGCATTGATTTTGAGCAAGTTACTTCTTGTAGCACATACAAATTTAATATTATGTTCTTGATTAACCATAGGGAAGAAGCTTAACAAACTTCAAAGAATGAGATATAACCATCAGTACTTTTTCTCCCAGTAGTGAATCCTTGCCCCTGAGCAGGAGGTTTTGGTCCTTTCAACAATTTTGAGAAAAGCATGGAAAGCAGGAGATGTATTGACATTTCAGTGGAATAGATGTGTGCAAAGTTCTTAACTTTTAGTCTTCTGGGAATAACAAGTACCCAGGTTTCATTTATGTTTCCCTTTGATGTACCATAATGATACTAAGACATTTGCTGTAACAGAGGTGTAGGTGTTTCAGCTGAGAAGAGGGAAAGATAGTTGGGTGAGGGGTGGAAGTGATGTTTCTATACAACATAGGAATTTGAGATGATGGGCATTGAGGGTTCCATATTTTGCACTGTGCCCTCCTGATGGTAAGCCCCCTTTCTCTAGGGATTTCCAAGCCCAAGAGAAGGGATGAGATGTGAAGAAGGAGAAGAGAGGCTGTTGTGCAAATGGAGGTTTGGTGATCAGGATACCTGGATTCTAGTCCTAGTTCTGCCATTGATTTGCTGTGTAACCTTGGGGAAGCCATTTCTTAGTTCTGGACCTCAGTTTCTTTATATGAAAAAAAGTGATTCTATTTATTGATCTCCAAGGTACATTCTCACTCTGACCTTCAATACTTTTGTGTCCTCATGTTCTTTAGAGAGGAAGCAAATATCAAGACTGTTAGGCACCCTAAGCTGGAAGTTATATAATACAAAATAATTTAAAAAAAATTTTAGAGTACAAAAAAATGAGGAATGCATCGTGTTATTATTTTTTTTTACTCTATGCACTTCCCAGAGTTTCCAGGATAAATATTCTGTCCTTTTGTCCTTAGAAACAATACAACTATCCTGAAAATTGCAATGTTTCACCATTCCAATAACATCTCCAAAATTGCTCCATTTAATCAAAAGGGACTTCAGAACATCAAAGTTATATGGTTTTAAACAGGAGTCAATGAACAATTTTGGTTTCAGAAAATTATGGTTACCATAATTCTGTAGCACTTACCTGATCTTTCTGTTTTTCTCATGTATATCAATTTCTTTATCAGTACAAATAATTTTTGAAGCAATTGAAACTTTGATTAATGTAATCAGCTTGGATCACATATTACAAATGATACATGCTTGAGAATATGAAGAACCACTCTTAAAACTAGACATTTACAATGAATGCTTGGAATAGAAAAAGAGGCCAATTAGGTTTTTCCACTGTAAGCTTCTAGAGATAGTTAGAGGGCAGAAGAATTTGGGAAGTGGGAAGGACTAGCAGCAGAAAGAGGGAGAAGGCAGAAAATTTCAAATAGCCTTTGTATGTAGTTTCCACTTGGAAGGATTAAAAATCAGCAGGTTTGGACTTAGGTAAAGAATTCGGCAAGTGATGCCTGCCTGAAATTTTATCTTTAGCCCAAACCTCTATCCTCAGAATTTCACAATGCCTGTTTTGTGTCTCAATTTGACACCTCAAACTCATTTTTCTTTTCTCCCAGACCCCTTTCCTTCTTTTACTGACACTACTATTTTCATTTCCCTGGTCACTAAGAATAATAATCATTGCATTATATCTGATTCTACCATTGCCCTGCTAAATCCAGTCAGATGCCAAGTTGTGTGGATATTCCTTTATAATCTGTCTCACAATCAGCAAACCCTTTCCATACTTACTGCCACCACTGTCATTTAGGCCTTCATGACTTCTCATTTTAAATATTGTGCTAACATATCTGATCCATTCCCTTTAAACCTTGTCATTTTCAATTAATTAAAAACTACACAAGCCTTTAGCTTAGTTTCTTTTTCTACCAGTAGCATTATACCAAGTGTATGGGGGTGATTACATTCTCAACTTTCAGTGATAAATTGCATTTTGCATTGAGGAAGGTAGAGAAGGAATAGCATTTTCAGTTACAAGGGATAGCATCAGTTTGTGCAATTTCCTGGAAAATTTGGAGAAACTTTGCAGAAGTTCATAGTAGCCTAATGAAAGATTCTCCCATACTTAGATTAGTGTCAAACATTGAAGCACTCCCATTGTATATTTTACCTGCTAATTCGAACGTTAAAGCAGACCTGACACCTATAGTTTTCCTATGACCACAACCCCATAAGATTTAATATTATTTGTTTCTTTCCTTCATTACCTATATTAGGTGAATGTTTTTCTGTTGCTTTTTGTCCTCAAGCCTCATCTGATCCACTTCATAGATGTTGGGAATTCAGGGATTTCCCTTAGGTTTAAGTATCTCCCATCATTACCAGCATTGGCCTCTTCCCACAGTCATGTTCCCATCAATCACATGGACCTGGCCACATGGCAGCTTTGCTGATGGGCTCTGCAGCCATCTCCCACAAACCCTGGCCAAGAGGTGACATTCAATCTATCCACAGAGAATACTTCCCTCTTGCCAAGGCTGTAAAACTGTCTGGGATTGTAGTAC